GTGTGTGAATAGTGCAAAAGTCACAATGTTCCAACTATTAAAGAACGAATGAAGTACATTATAAGTACATTTAGATAAATTCCTATATTACAGCTTTTGAGTCAAAAGCTTATGTGGTGCATAGTATTAGACTACATATATGTCACTTTGAATTTCTATTTTTAGGAATTGGATTTGTTTTTAAATTTTTATAATTTTTGTTTAAGAGAATACACAATCGTTCATAATAAATAGATTTATATAGACTATGTATCAACTTTTAACTTATAATTTAAATTTTTGAATTTCTTTCATGTTTTAAGCATAGTAATTATTTTAAAAAAAATTGGGAACGCAAATATTGCATATACTTATATTGGGGGGGGGGGGGGGGGGGGGGGCAAAATCTTTTCTAGGGAGGGCCAATTTTATTTTTTCATATATATAATTGGTTATAACTCTAGATTTCTGTTTAAACTAAGTTAAGAAGATGATTTTAAGACCATTTCTACATAAGTGGATGATCAATACTAGAGTACGAACATATATTCTTGTCTAACGTGAAATTATGTTACTTTTATCGGGTGAGCTTCTTTAAATTTCCGTTTAAACGTTTTCTCTTGTTCTAGGAAGTTCCATGTTTTTTCTTGAATTGCTTGAGAATGAATGTTTACACCCTACTTATACTATTCAACTTGTGTAGTGTAGTAAACGGTGTGGGTTATTAATAGGACCTAAGCGTTATGGTTACCTTTTTAGAATTCTGAATTTGTTTTTTATCTAAAAACAATCCAGTGTATCTACACATGCTACTCCATTCCTTATTCTTCTATACTCTTTTAGACCTTATATGTATGTACTCTTGTGTAATGTTTTGAAAAATTATACTTCCTCCGTTCTTAAAAAATGCAACGGTCAACATTTCACACTTGTCCAGACACAACTTTGACCATTAATATAAATGATTTTGTATTAGTAAAAAAATTAAAAAAAATAGATTATGAAAATTTACAATGAGACAAGTTTAACAATATTTTTTTCATAAAATAATATTATTACATTAATAAATAAAACGTAGTCAAAGTAGAACATGTGAATAGTGTAAAAGTCAAAGTGTTGCATTTATTTAAGAACAGAGGTAGTATATTTCTCTAAAACCTCTCAGGATGCCTAGAATATTTCAAATAGAGGAGGCTAGCGATAAGCCTTTGCATTATTTTTGCTAGTTTCCAAATCAACATCAAAACATTCAACATTTTTGTCACAACATAACAAAAGTCGCATTGATCTCTTACATTTGTGTACAGGGGTGGACCCAATCTGCCGATCTCGACCGAACCAGAACCGGGTCCGACACTATTTGGGACCAGCCCGGGACCAATTATCTAGTTCTGGTCCAGGACCGCCCCCGCGGAATTCGTTACCCGGTCAAGGGTGCCATTTTTTTCAATCAGGACCTGCCTATCTCGAGCCCGGCCCAATTCCTTACGATCAGCTTTTTTCTCATTTTTTGTCTGAAATTGGGACCACAATCGGACATACCGGTTTATCTAACCTGATTCGGGCCAATCCCGGGTCTCCCGTTTTTTCGCCCGGAGCTGGGACCGTATCGGGTTCATGCCTATTTGCATATGAAGTCATACAAATACCGTATATGGGAGTGATGGGATTATGGGAGTAGAACTCTAACCCTCACACCTTCTTTACACTTAGTTCCTACAAAGATGGGGGAGCTTAACGGGTAGTAGTATATATGCTATCTTGCTTAACTCTGTAAAAGCATTTATGCATTCATCTATACACTTCTATGATATTCAAGGAGGTTCCATACTTTTCTAAAAAATAAAATTTTCTAGAATGTTGCTGAAGGGCTATACAATAGTACATCATACTAATATGATATAGTTACTCATGTTCAAAACCGTCTTGTGCGTGCTACTATCATGGTACAAAGTGTTACTTTCACAAGGTACATGTTCCTGTCGTACTAAGTGCAACATGCCACACTCATAACGTATATCGCATGTAGTGTTGGCCACGGGTATGCGGTGCCAGCAATCTGCCAGCCTGCCGGTGCAATCGAACCGCGTGGCGCTTCGCTTGTGCTACAAAAGGGAGAGGAGCGTGCTACACTATCAGCAATTTCTTTTAGTGTAGCGGTAAGTACAACGATCAACAATTGGTATCAGAGCCAAGGTCACGGGTTCGACCCCCGGCAACAGCATGTTGCGCAGTTGAGGCTGGCAGGTGCTGTGGGAAGATTGTTGGGCTGCGGGGGTATGCGGTGCTAGCAATCTGCCAGCCTGCGGGTGCAATTGAACCCCGTGGCGCTTCGCTTGTGCTATAAAGGGAGAGGAGCGTGCTACACTATCAACGATTGCTTTTAGTGTAGCGTTAATCGCAACGATCCACATGTAGACTACTACCTTTCACATGTCACATGTTACACAATGTGCATAGTAAAGATTATAGGGTTCTACCTCTTCACGTGGCCCATATCACATAGTGTTACCTTCACACGGTACGTATATAGTACACATGACAATACTATCTTTCAAAAGGCTTCCTTGTAAGAAGTCAAAACACAATTTATAGCACAATAATCACATCAACCCCACAAATAGAGGTGAGTTCAGTTTTTTTGGTTCGATTTGACCAAAAACTAAATATGGAATCAAAGTAAAAAGTTCAATTCGGTTTCGGTTTTAGATTTTAAAACTTGAAACTACGTTTTGATTGGTTTGGTTTGTTTCGGTTCGGCATCGGTATTTTCAATTTTTGTTACTAAAAAATTGTCATTTGATTTAAAATGATACGATGGTTGGGGGCATCAAACATATGACATAAAAATGCAAATATACTAGACAAAATAAAAAAGAAATAAATATGTCGTGAATTATATGAGTATGTGGGAGAGATAATACACTTTTACAATCTTTTGGAACAAAAATGTATATAATCTTAATTTACATTTTTTGTGACTAGTTTGAAAACAATTCATAAATATTTACATTCTATGTGATATAATTGAGATGAATCTTTATTTGTTATATGACTCAATCAATATAAATACTTTAATTTACGTAAAAAAAAAAGTTACAAGTAATAACGAGTAAAAACTTCTATATCACCATCATGCCAAAAATTGCAAAATAAATACATAAAAGATATTGTATAATAGATCAATAGCTACATTATTATTATAGGCAATAAATGTGTAACTGTATTTATAAATCAAACTAAACATAATATAAAAATCAATTTTCTAGCACAAGAAAACCAAAGATTATCAATGATATTAGGACTAATGCTTAACGATTAACAAATGAAATTTCATATTTTAATTAGTTCGGTTTATTTGGTTCGGTTCGATTTTGAAGGGTAAAAATCAAAACCGAATCAAATAACTACGGTTCGGATTTTACACTCGCTTTTTCTTTTTTTAGTGGATCTGTTTAATTTGATTCTGGTTTAATTTATTTTGATTTGGTTTTTGGTTTTTGAACCCAACCCTACCCACAAATCAGAACATAGTGACATAGCACCGCACCGTATTTACGTTGTTGGAATAACTAACTCTTCATACATAAATTACTTATCCCGATAGTAGTTTTATTGCTTAAAACCACATATAATTATATTGTCCAACCCCAACAAATAGGTCTCACCACACACTTCAAAGGATATAGCATGCAATGGAATGAACCCAATCAAATTAAATTCAAATATTTTTACTTCAGGTTAGGCATTGCAATGGATCGGGGCTGGACTAGTAGTGCAAGACCAAGACCCGCCCATGAGTTTAATAAATGGACTCACCCCACCCCGTGACTCTCAGAGGTCTTTATAGGTATGCATCTCAATTTGCATGAAGTCATTATACATTGAATTTACCTCCAAAATAACTAAAAAAGCAATATTATAACAAAACAAAGTCACAATATAAAACAAAGTGTAAAAACTTAAGAAAAAGTATGTAGAATTGAATAGTTAATCTATTTATATATATATTGATAAATGAACATATAAAAGGGGTTTTTACATAAGTATTACTAAAATAAAACTTATTTACACAAATATGACTAATAGTTACTATAATGTAGTGTCATGGTAACTTAAGTTTTAAAATTAAACATAAGTTACTATGATTTCATTACTATGATTTCATTACTACTTTAGTCACTTTAACATTTTTGTAAACAATCTTTGTTTTAGTCATAAATATGTAATTATTTTCATATTAAAATGCTAATTAAAAAAAATCATAGGCAATTAATGGCATCTTGCTCCAATACAAATAGTACGGAGTAATATATTACATGACCGAGAAATTCATGACTTATTATAAATGTATACATATACTAGTTTTTTCACCTGTGCGTTGCACGTGATGAAAAGATATTATATTTTATTTGATAGTACTTCAATTATCTTCCTAAAGACTCCAAAACATTTGCCTTTGAGTTTGAATTAAAAGGCTATGATTTATATTTAAGATACAATTTAACATTGCAAATTGATAAGACCTCTTTATACACAACACTGAATGCGAAAATTGTCGCTCTACGTTTATTGTCATATATCAAAAAATTTAAAATAGTTGGACTTTTGACTCTAGATACAACGACGTAAAGTTGTCAATGCGTGAAACTAATCGTCGTAAAATATCCCCACATTTTCAACGACTAACCATGACTCTTATTGATCGTCATCACATAGCTAACCAGCAAAGGAAATTGCTTGCACTGGAAGTTAACATGCAATCAACCCTGACAACTTTTGGGCCCCAATAACATGTTTGCCAAGTCATGTCACTAATAGCCGTACCATTGCACAAACCAAACCGAGTGATTGATCTAGAATCCTCACAAGCATCACAAGGACACCCACTTTTAGTTTGAGGTGATGACTATGATTGCATTCCTACTTTAGTCATTTTTACATTTTTGTAAACAATCTTTATTTTAGTCATAAATATGTAATTATTTCCATATTAAAATGCTAATTATAAAAAAAAATCATAGGCAATTAATGGCATCTTGCTCAAATACAAATAGTAAGGAGTAATATATTACATGACCAAGAAATTCATGACTTATTATAAATGTATACATATATTTGTTGTATAATTTAAAACAAATTATGCATACTTATATATTGAACGTGGCAGGACGGGTCAACAAGGGTCAATAGTAATACCCGAACCCGTCCCATTGTGTGCATGGGAAGGGCAGACCCACCCTATTTGCAAGACGGGGCAAGGCAGACCTGCCCCAAATGTCTAGAGGTAGGGCGGGTCGTTGCGGAGCATTTTTTTTTTACATTCCTACTTCAGGCAGATTAATAAGGGGACATTAAATTGTTGCAAATGTGAAGATGTATACGAAGTGTACACTCATATGATATTGAATCAAAGGCTTCCCACGTCAGTGTTTAACCGTTGCTATTAAGCGTTATGGTTAAACTGTACGTCAGCTTCACATATATACTGTTCTAGACTCCTACAATAGTATCATCTACAGCCGATTCCACAGCACGGTCTGAGCCAGTCTGGGCACATAAGGGTTGGTGATTATCCTCAACCATCTGCAGATCTAAGGCGCCCCCTTCTGTAACAGCAGGTGGCTCAGCGAGGTCAGCATCAGGCGAGAGGCTTCCAAGAATAGCAACACTGTTCTGCTGCGTAGCAACCAAAGCCTCAGGGTCGATCATCTCTTTGGGTAACCCCCAACCATTCACATCAAAGTCATCAAACTTGTCCCTCAGTTTGGGATAGATCTTCTGTTGCATATCATACAGCCCCACCTGATACGCAATAAGGCTCTCTTGGGTTACCTTGTCTTCTCCTAACGGAGTGGCTAGCCACTCCTCACCAATCTCATTCAAATGAGCCTTGATGTATGCTTTCCGTTCAGCTTCAAACTCAGAGGACTCTTTGTATGTGTCAATGGCTGCATCCAATGCCCTGACATGACACTCATTCCTGTAAGCTATCTCGGCAGCATGGGCATCTTTCAGTGCCTCCATGTCCTTCACCATTTTATTTCGCTTTACCTGCTCAACGGCCAAGGCCTTCTGCAGCTCCCGCACCTGCTCATCCTTCCGCCGGATTATCTCAGAAGTGACCAACACGGCCTGCAAAGAATGTGTTAGATGCATACAAAAGGGAGAAAAGGATCATGTATTTCATATTACCTCGGCCATAGCACGATGCCCCCGATGCTCAAGTGTATCATTAGTAAGGCTAGCTAGCTCCTCATTCATTTTTTGGAATCTCTCCCTTCTGGAAACCATAGCTGCAAAAGTACAAGAACAAGGTCATGGTGAGCAATATAAAACTATAGGCACATAGACCTGGCATTTGGACAAATGAAATTATATACAAGTAGATTTAGTTTGTAAACAGAAGTATGGAAAATCAAATAATTGCATGTTAGTGAGATGACATCAGTATATCCCAGAGTAACTTACTACCGAAGAACTCACCAAGTGTTGGTAATGAAGTTGTTGGCATTTGTTGTGAAGTATGATGAGTTGATGGTGCCATTGAAGACATTGAAAATATGCTAGTACAAACATTAAATGTACCAGTACTGGTGTTACTGGTCCCAGAAATACCAACACTGGTTGTTGCAGTTACTATTGGAAAATGGGGCAATGAAAGAGTTGCAATGCCTAACTCAGCAGGCTTTGAATCTATACCACTGAGTGTAACTTCCGATGATGTGGATGCTTGAAAACCAGATGAAGTCCCAAACGAAAGGATAGCCATATCTGAAGATGACGATGACACACTGGGAGTTGTAACGGATGAAACAGTTGTTGAAGCATTTCCCATACCCTGTGATGGATACAAAGTGCTTGTAGTTGAAACACTTGGGAAAGAATATGGAAGGGAAGATGATGCTGAAGTGGCAGTTGATATGGTGGGAAACATAAAACCAGATGTGGAAAAAGTTGAGCTTGAAGCTGGGGGAAAGGATGATGCAGAGGTTGATGAAAGTGATGGTGCTCCAAAAGCTGAAGCTGCTGACCCAAATGGTGATGCAGTAACAGCTGTTGAGCAAGAGGATAATGATCCAGTGATCCCAGAGTTTAAATGATATGAACCTGAGGAAGATGCACTAAGGGTAGAATTATCAAAAGGCAAAACTCTTCGTCTTCTCCTTGTCTTAATTTTCCTTCCAGAAGAAGAAGATGTGGTTCCAGACATTTGGGAACTATAGGTGTTACCTGGATCTCTAGAAACTCCAAACACTGGTGAAGCATGAACATTTTCATTTCCAAGTGGCAAGGTAGTACCAAAAGAATACAAGGGAGCAGCAATAGTGCTACCAACTCCAAACGAGAAGGGTGAGGAAGATGATGAAGGGGTCGAAAATGAGAAGTTAGTCGCCATTGCACCAGAGCTAGAAGTCATGACACCTATAGAGACAGACATATGTAAGTGAAATACACAGAAGAAGCATCAAACAAATGCATGAATGAAGAGGAATATAGAAGGCTCTGGCAATGAAAATATAGCCATTATAATTTAAATGCACTCACCATTTTTATATTCTATGATTTATGAGAAGGGTCCCCAAAGTTCAGTTTAGGGTTTGGGTGATTCTAGCATCTAAAATGATTTCATATGTAAACATAACTAGGCCGTAAGTTCTTTTAGATTGTATTAAAACTATTAGGCTCTTAGTGCAGTTTAAAGCGGAAAAACATCCAAAAATTACTAGAATGGATTCACTAGTATTCTCTTAACTTTCCAGCATATATGTAGGGTAGAAAGAGAAATGCAGATTAATAGTGGTACTAAAAATGATTATTCATGTGCTCAATGGACGAGAAGAAACTCTCAAATTAAATGACTCTGAACTCTTAAGGATTTACTCCAAATCACGTATTGGATGATTTATAAAACGTCAACAAACTCAGAGAAGTTGACATACAAAGTCATAGTGGCACACAATCTATTTAGTGTGAAGCATCTGATATGGTAAAAAAGTACTTAACGCTAGAATGAATTGAACGGACTTTGTTCTGGTCTCTTGATTTTCAATTATTTATTTAGGGAGATTTTATATTATCCAGAAAGCTACTGCACGGATCAAATGCTTTAAATAATACTGCGTAGTTAGCAAAGAGATGCCACCACAGAATTGATTCAAAATATTCCATTTTAACTACTTCTACTTCATAAATATGGAGTACTAGTTAGCAGAGAGATAACAACATTACGCCACAAAATCGATGGCAAATATTCCGTTTAAGCTACTTCTACTTCATATAGCTTCCTGTTCAACTTCATTAAAAATGAACAAATGGATATCCCCTTTCGCACAATCAGAAGGAATTCCAGAAAAAGGGGATGTTGAAAGAAATCATACCTTGCAGAGGGATGTATATCGACACGGCTGAAAGCCTGAAATCAACAGGGTCGAAGAAAACTAATTCGGATTTAGATTTTTAGAGTAGCTTATAAGATTGTTTTGACAGGGAAATGCAAATTGGAGAAGGTGAAGGGTCAGGGAGAGGGAAAGGCGTGGAGCTATCAGAGAAGAAATATGAAGGGGAGAAGAAAACTTCCCCAAGAAGTTAGCGCCAAAATGAAGCCGAGCCGTATAGAGGAGTCAGCCAAAACTGAACTCAGCCGTAAGATAAAGAACAATCACATTTGGCACTTCTTGGAGAGCTCAATTACTCTCTCCGTCCCAAATTTGATTTGCAAAATTTCCTTTTTTTTGTCCCAAAATGTTTTTCCACTTTTTATTTAAGTATGTAAATAAGAATAAAGTGACAAATTTAACTTTACTTTTACTTTTTCTCCATTAACTTAGGCATCTACTTTTAGAAAGATGGGTAAAAGTGTAAAAAGCTAGCATCATTTATTGTCATTTCTTAATCCTTGTGTCGGTCAAAGTTTGCAATTCAATTCGGAACGGAGAGAGTATAAATTAATAATATGCCCAGCCGTATGTACTCGCTTTGTTCTTTTGTAGTTGCAACACTTTCCTTTTCGGGAAGTTTCTAATAACCCTTCTATTTTAAGACATAAAAGTGTATGCAATTGTCTTTAATACCCTTAATGAATCTCACTGCCTTTGTCCTATTGGTTCCTTTCCTTTCTTTTAATCTTCTCTTTATTATCCTCCATCCACTCCTTTATTATCCTCCACCCACTCCTTTATCTCTTTTCTCCCTTTCTAACTTCTCTCTTACGGAGATCTCCCATCCCTTTCTTTATTTCTTCAGGCAATAATAATTGATGCTGAACATTCAACAATTACAGTAGGATAGAAGCTTGAGGATGAAGCTCTCGTGACTCGATTGTTCAGAAGAAGAAGAAAAAAAAGATTTCCGAGGATTATGATGCGTGAGAGAAGGATGGTCTATCATCCCAAATTCGGCCTGAAGGACAAGCAGATTATGAGGTTCTGTGAAATACGGAGTACTTTGGCCAGACCGATTTAAAGACAAAGAGTGTGATAAGAGAGGTAATTTACCTGGCTATCTCTATAAAATTTGGGGATCATTTTTTGATTAATTTCTATGCTCTTGATTTTTTGGTTATGTTAATTTATGGTTTTAGCATGGTTCAAATTCCTCGATTTGTTGATTTTTCGGTTTTCACATTTTGTAAATTATGACTACCTTAGCTAATTTCATTTTGTTGTCTTCTACTGAGTATAAATTTTTAGCAGATTTTAAACTTTGCAGCAATCTGAGACACAGCTCCTTTTGGTAGATTTTTACCATCGGCTAGTAGCAGAAGTTTTTCTATAAGGTGTTTTCTTTGAATATTTTTCAGCTCCACCTTTTTTCTCCCTGATGATTGTATTTCTTCCTCACTTTCAGTTTCAGATAAGAAAGAAGACGATATGGCTGCATCTGGGTCGAAGTCAAAGTCAAAAAGCATGGCCTCCTCCAACTCAAGAAGCTCTGACACTGAAATTTCTTCGTCCATTTATGGAGCACTGGACTTTTGCGTATTTTGTTTTTGCTAGACAAAGCTCTTTGGTCGTCTGAATTTGTAAAATGCTAACTTCTCTCGTGACTACTCTGTATTTAATGTAGGCTCCCTCAATCATGGAGGGAAATTTGTTTTTTTTTTCACTTTGGCAAGCCCCTCCAATTTGGGATGATAGAGTTGTAAAAGTAGGAAGTGACAAGTCATTATTTGCACTGTAGCTCTTTGTACTATTCTACTTTTTAAAAAACAATTGCTTTGTGTACGTAAGGTTTTTGTCAGGTCTCCAGAGGTTTGTTTTTAATTGTTGAAGGGTATAAAGGGGAAAATATTACTTTATCCCTATTTCTTAATTTGTGTGCCTTGAAGGTATGTTGCATCTAAATAAAAACGGAGGATAGTATTAAGGAGCATCCTCAGGAAATTGTAAGGTTAGAGTTAATATTGTAACCATATCTGTTGAAGCGAGAATCATTTTAGCTATTTTATATAATTTTTTCTTTATTTTATTCATAAAAGATATTTTTAATTTATATATAAATAATTTGTTGAATTTTTTGATGAATTTTTTTGAGCATGTTCCTCATCAAGTCTAGTTTATCCATACCAAATTTCAGCTTAAAATTCAATCGAGAATGCAGTCAAATAATTTGTTGAAGTTAACTGCGCCAAATTATACATAGAAAAACGCAGTCATATTATAAGTACTTTCTGAAAGAGAGTACTTAAATGTGTAATAGACTTGTCTAAAATTATGTTGTTATATCATGGGAGTGGTGCAAGGAGAGCATCACGCTCCCACAATTATATGAAATGTAAATTGTGTGAATTACACTCATTCAAAGTAATTCGTTGAAATGTAAATTGTCTTAATTGAAATGTAACTTGGGAACAAGTCAAATGTAATTTGGGAAATGTAACTTTAGCCTGTTGAAATGTAAAACGCCTTTACAGAGATGTAACTCCATGTATTAATGTGTGTGTAATTGATTAACACCATCAATCAACATCCAGAAGAATGGAGAAATTCAGATTAATCTAAATTTGATTAATAGGCAGCCCTATAGATGTTAAATCAAAGCAAAAGAATTTGAGAGGTTGAAGACGATTGGAGTACCCAGCCTGAAGTGGCTCCACTCCTATGTATCTCTTTGATTTGCCTATGTCGATCCTCTAATGGCCGTGATCGATCGATGCTCTGTCTTTTTTGCAAGGCACGCCACTTGTTGGCTATGTCGTTTTGAAATCGACGCACCATGCGCACGGTGGGTCGATCCCACAATATAAATTGTGCTAAAATTAGGATTGGTAAAATAGTGCATGATCATAATAGGCTGGCTTTATTTTCTTTTTTTCTTTTGGCTTCTTCCTTATATAGTATGCGCATAGCCATTTTCCGTGTTGCGATCAGTCAAGTCAAACAAAAATTCTCCATGTTACACTTATTTGGATACAAATGTTACATCTTTAAGAAGCATGGAATACGTCTCTCAAACTCAAATGTTACGCAACCCTAACGATTAACAAGGTTTTACCCAGCTGACCATACTTTAAATCGACATGATGACTATTCTTTCCCCTTTCACATATATTGTTTTGCAGCAGGGTTCATTCAGATTTCAGAACCTATGGGTTATGGCCTAATCTTCTTGAAAGTCATTACACCTAGGGATGGACTCGATTCGGGCCGGGCCCGATTCAGGCCTTGAACCGGCCGGGCCTCGATTCAAGGTATGGGAGGCCCGGAACCGGCCCGGGTAACCCCCGATCCGGGCCGGACCTCGGTTATATTTTTTTTTTGGGCTTTTCCTAGTTAACCCCCAACCCTCCCCCTCACTCCCAAACCAATCCTAACCACCTCAAATGGCCCAAAATACCCAGCCCAACCCAAAAACTTAAAAAAAATTCGAAAAAAAAATTGGCCCGGCTCGGGCCCGAACCGGCCGGGCCGGTTCACCTTTTGAAGGGCCCGAGCCCGAACCGAGATCCCACCGGGCCGGGTGGCCCGAACCGGCCAACCAACCGGTTCACCGGGCCAGGCCGGGCCCGCACAATAGCGGCCCGGTCCGGTTCCGGGCCGGTTGGCCCGGCCCGAGTCCACCCCTAATTACACCCAACGATTACAAGATTCTAGTCTTTTTTGCTAGAGTAATTGCTTTAATATTCCAGTATTTGCAGGCATGATTTAGTCGATTGAAAAAGGTGAAAGCACCAAGGTTTGATAAAAATGGCCGGTTGAAACAACACTGAGAGGAAATGAAGTCATTATTTTAAGAGATTGTAAATAAATTAACAATGAAAAACAAGGAACTCAAGAGCTTTATATTTTCCAATTTGTATATAAAGTAGGGGTGGGATCCATCCGCTCTGGGTCAGGTTTTTGCTAAACCCGGAAATTACCCGGAAGGTCTTGGGTTATGAAAATTAAGGACCGGAACATGGTCAGCAAGTTTCCTGCATAGCCCACCTACGAGGCTGCGAGAACTGAACTAAGGAAAGATTCCCATCATTTGAAAAGTGTTAATGACTTTTCATGTTGCTAAATCATTGATATCAAAAGAGCAACAAAACTTCCACCAAATAATTTAAACGCAAACACCCTGATTTTAAATTCTCGCAAATATATATGGATGGTTAATTTTATAAAACAGCACCATCTCATTAAAAGTTCATATACAATGAAAATGTCTTTGACAAACACCAGAGGTTCAGTTTAGAAGGAACCAATATTGGCTTCATTCTTCCATAGCATCTTCAACAGCAACTTCCACAATGTCAATCAAGGGTGTAACTTTTGTAAAAAGAACCTCTGTCGATAGATAGAAAAAAAGAACATCAAAAATTCCAACTCAATTGAACACCCAACCCGTCAATTGCAGCATGACATTCAAAGTAAAAAGCAATGAATAAGTGAGAACACAAACCGGTCTTTTTAGGGAATGCATAACCCTTCTGTGGGTATGTTCGGGGATTCGGCAACTTGTGGTTTCTAATGTATTCTGCGTGCCCCTAAAGAACAAAAGATAAAGAACTTTAAAAAGTTAGGAGCCAAAGCCACCTAAGCTAAACCATACCCAAGTGAAAAAATTAAGGTTTTGGAGGGGAAGACTTTGGAGGGCTTGGAATATACCTGGATAAGTAGAATGTTTCTATGATGAATTATTAAAATATTGTACAATCACATATTCAGTTCATCTTTCAATTTTTATAATCAAATCTCTGATATGTATATCAAGAAGATATATGGTAAACTCTCTTGAGGAAGCGGTCCAGCTCAGCAGGTCGTCGACTCACTCTCCCTTGCGGGAGGTCCCGGGTTAAATACTCAATGAAGGGAGTTTGAGCCCAATTTACCCCAAGCCCCCTCCCCTCGGGTATATATATATACCCCTAAAGTGATTTTAATGTAGTTTCTAATATATAAATTTTAATTATTAAAAATTGAATTAATTATCGATATGGAGCATTGACTTTTTTTATTGGTTGACAAAAAAAATGTTGACTTTGCAAAACAATTTGGGACGGATGTAGTATATATCTATATATAGAGAGAGAGGGGGGGGGGCAAATCGTATCAGGCCGGCCTGACGGGAACCGCCGTCAGGCCAAGACCATTTGGGGCTTTTCCCGTGTGGAATTTTTGATGATTTTTTTTTAGCATGTTCATCATCAAGTCTAGTTTAGGCCCACCAAATTTAACCTAAAAATTCATTGGGAAGGAATTTATTTAACTGCCTTTTGTAAGGAAGGAATTTATTTAACTGCCTTTTTATAAAGCGCAGTTTTTGTAAGGAATTTATTTAACTGTCTTCCCGATTGAATTTTTAGCTGAAATTTGGTGGGCCTAAACTAGACTTGATGATGAACATGCTCAAAAAAATTTCACAGGGAAGACCTCAAATGCCCTTGGACGGATGGCAAATTCTGTCAAGCCAGCCTGACAGGATCGCTACTATATGTATGTGTGTATATATATAGGGAGTACTACTATATATATATATATATATATATATAGGGAGTGATTCCAGTGAGAAAGGTCTCTTAGGAGAGAAATGAGAATAAATCTGGACCAAAATTGAATTAGTCTAGTGTGGATAAACTGGACTTGATGAAGAACATGCCATAAAAATTTCATCAAAAAATTACACCGGGAAGGCGCCAAACGCCGCTGTCCGGACCTGAACATTTGTGTGTGTGTGTATGTATATGTATATGTATGTATGTATATGAGTAGTATTCCTGTCCTGCCAGGCCGGACAGGAGGGTGGTCCAGCCACCTAAAATTGAGGTGATTCCTAGCGGTATTTTTGGTGAAATTTTTTGTGCATGTTCTTCATCAAGTCTAGTTTACACATACCAAATTTGAGCAAAAAAATCAATCAGGAAGGCCGTCAAATGATTTTTGAAAGATAATTGTGCCAGAATATACATATAAAACGCAGTTATCTTTCAAAAATCATTTGAAAGCCTTCTCGATTGAATTTTTTACTCAAATGTGGTATGGATGAACTAGACGTGATGAAGAACATACACAAAATATTTCAGCAAAAAAAAACCATCGGGAACCACCTCAAATTGAGGTGGCCGGACCACCCTCCTGTCCAGCTTGGCCGGACAGGAGTATTTGTGTATATATATATATATACATATACACACACAGTAAATTCTCCAAACCTTTCCAACCAAACAGACCTTAAAACCTGGTCTCCCATGAGACCGCCATAATTCTAACAACATTCATAATATTTCTTTTTACCATGTTAGTGAACAAGTATTACATACTCCGCATTTTGCTTTCAGAGTCTCAAACATCAAAGCTTAATAGCAATCTGTTCCAAGTAACCATACCTTGGTGATCACACAAACATCAACATTGCTTCCACTACCCAGATCATTGAAAATTCCAGCCAGTATGGCATCTGTCACCAGTTGGATTCCTTCATCCCTCTGCATAATAATATTTCCCTCATTGCACAAGATACCTCCAAATTGTGTCCAAATGCAACTGATTAACTGAATAAATGCAATGCCAAATGTGTACTTACATTTAGACCTTCTATGTATCTTGACTCAAAAACCGACATTGCTGCAAGGGAACCAGAGCCCATTGTAGCAAATGGCAGTGTGTCAGTTGAGCCATGTGGATAAATCTGTAAAACAATTCACTATTAGTTCTTTGTGGTCACACAAGAAAATGGCTATACTATGATTTTAAAGGTTACTCACTGTATGCAAATGCGGTCCTGTAACATCAACTCCACCAAGAACCAAAGCAGCCGAAACATGTCCTTGGTGCCTTGTTAATTTATATTATGATTAGGCCCCCCTCTCATAGATAAAATAACATAACTTATCTATCGAAACCTAGTGAGAACTGACAATATGCTTACTTGAAAAGATGAGACTTCAACAGTGTAAGTGACGTGACAACCCTGGATTCACGACCAGTGTGATATCTGTGAAGTTTCAGCTGGGAGCTGACCATGTCTACAAAATAGCCATTTGCACAATAACCATCCTTTGGTTGGGAAATATTGGATCAGAGGGGTGATGTTTATTTCAATTCATGGTTACAAAGTAATGGAGTACATGCAGGGCAGAACCAAAACAAAATTTGAGGGGGGGGGGGGGGGGGGGGGGGGGGGGGGCTAAAAGAAATTATACTCATATAAAGTCAGATATTTCAAATATTAACAAGAAATTTTGACATATTTGTACTAACTAAAGAATAAATAGTTATGTTAAAATTCAAGTCACTTTAATTTGTTTTGATAAACTACTTATAAATTGACATAGGTCAATGTTTGAAGAGGGAAGAAATAGTTAGAGGTCTTTTTTACTGTTATTGTACTAAACAGAAAATGTAAATAGCATGTGAATATTCGAAAAGTAAAAAAAAAATATTGAATTAGAAAAAATATAAAAATGTAGAATAAAAGTGAAAGAAATCTTGGGGTGATAAGAAACATATTAAAAGTAATAACACTCCAAAAGTTTATATGGCAAATAGAGGAAGTTTAATACTTCGTAAAAATTAAAAAGATGACAGCGAGATTTATACGTAGTAATTAAAATGAGGACAGTGGGACTCGAACCCGCGTATCTCCCTAAGGTGAAGGACGCTTCAACCAATCAGACTACTCCAACTATTAGTCTTGATACGGGGCGCTGAATATTTATTATGATCTTGAGACGGGGCTGAAATATACATATACATATATATACACTATGAGCTCCGGCAAGGAGGCACCTTCTCGCACCCCCCCTAGTTCCGCCCCTGAGTACATAAGTATATTGTCATACACCCCAGCGTCCAAATAATCAGTCTACGGGGAAAGCCCAACTGACCCATCGGTCATGGACGAGGCACTTAGATGAGGCAAAGGGTAAATATGGTCTTTGGTGTATTCCAGCTAAGTAGTCCACGTGCATTGGGCCTGGCTAGACGAACAAGGCCGAGGGGACCTGCTCTCGACTCGGCCTGGCTTACGTCACGACATACTTTGCTGACATCATCATGCAGGACTTCAGGGCTAACATCACTGTACCCGCTGCCAGCATCAAGTTTATGTCACTAGGCGTGTTCCCAAAGATAGCCAAGGGACACGTCATTTTTGTATTAGCTCTTCGCTAGATTAGCCATCAAGTTACTTATACGTACTACTGAAGTTTTCTGAATATTATTTCCTTGAAATCATTTACAAGAAGTACATAAGCTATTTATACAGATAGGAATCCTGAGAGAGTCTATTCAGCACCCTAGGTGACTGTCTAAATACTAAACATAAATGATTGAGAACTGAAAAGACAGCAACTATTAAATACAACCTGAAGCACTAAAGATACATAATTACAGTAATAATAAGGAAAAAAAATCCTAGATTAATGATGTCTCTTCGTTTTATCAACACTCCCCCTCAAGCTAGGTTTGTAGATATCCGTCATGCCTAGCTTGACAATAAGACCCTGGAACCTAGGACTGTGCAGAGGTTTGGTAAACACATCTGCAACTTGATCTTCTGAGGGAGTGTAGCTTAGTTCGATCAGACCTCCTTCAACCTTTTCTTTGATAAAGTGCCTATCAATCTCAATATGCTTGGTCCGATCATGTTGGACTGGATTATGAGCTATGTTGATTGCTGATTTGTTATCACACCTCAATTCCATTGGTCCTTTCCACTTGATTCGTAAATCTAAGAGAATAATTCTGATCCATAGAAGTTCACATAAGCCATGGGCAAGAGCTCTTAGCTCAGATTCAGCAGATGATCGTGCCACAACATTCTGTTTTTTGCTTCTCCATGTCACGAGGTTTCCTGCTAGGAAAACACAGAGACCAGTAGTTGACCGGCGGTCAACGAGGGAGCCACCATAATCTGCATCAGTGAAGGCTTGGACTGATAATTGCCCACCCTTCCTGAATATTATCCCTTGCCCTGGACTTCCTTTTAGGTAGTGAAGAACCCTATAGGCTGCTTCTAGATGTGGTTTCCTTGGATCATGCATGAACTGACTCAAAACACTAACTGCATAGGCAATGTCAGGTCTAGTATGAGAGAGATAGATAAGTTTGCCACACAAGCGCTGATACATTGATGAATCAACCTTGGGTTCATCAGTAGCAAGTCCAAGCTTGTGATTAGGATCCATAGGTGCATTAACCGATCGACAAGCACTCTTACCGGTCTCATTTAACAAATCTGTAATGTACTTTTGTTGGCTGATAAAGATGCCTTCAGATGAGCGAGCAACTTCAATTCCAAGAAAGTATTTTAGAGGGCCAAGAGACTTCATCTCGAATTTGGATTTCAGCTGCCCCTCAAGACGTTGTTTCTCAACTGGATCATTACCCGTCACAATGATGTCATCCACATATACTAAAAGAATAGTGACTCCATTTGGGCGAGAGTGTTTGTAAAAAAGAGTATGATCCCCTTGGCTTTGACTATACCCAGCAGCAAGAACAACCTGTGTGAAGAGGTCAAACCAAGCACGAGGGGATTGTTTGAGACCATAGAGGGCTTTTTTTAAATGACATACATGTGTAGAGGTTCTTGTTGATGTTTTATTAAAGCCTGGGGGAATGTACATGTAGATCTCATCATGCAAGTCACCGTGGAGAAAAGCATTCTTGAAATCAAATTGCAATAAAGGCCAATCAAAGTGAGATGCCAAGGATAGTAGGATACGGACAGTATTGAGCTTAGCTACAGGAGCAAAGGTCTCTTGATAGTCAATCCCATACGTCTGAGTGTATCCTTTAGCCACAAGACGAGCTTTGTACCGCTCAAGAGATCCATCAGCCTTGTATTTGACAGTAAAGATCCACCTGCAACCAACAACATGCCTCCCAGGAGGTTTAGTCACAATATCCCAAGTATGGTTCTTTTCAAGAGCTCTAATTTCCTCTTGCATAGCATCCCTCCATTCTTTCTTTCCTAATGCCTCAGAAACAGAGTTGGGTATGGGAATTTCATCAAGTCTCTGAACAAACAAGGCATGTGAAGGAGAGAAGTTATCAATGGTAACAAAATTAGCAAGAGGGTATAGAGGTGTTTTGGTACATTGACGTACACCCTTGCGTAAAGCAATTGGCGGAGATGGTGGTGGAGAAGAAGAGACATTACCTGGGTCAACCAATTGGTCATGCGTCAACAATGGAGTGAACCTGTTTTTCCTTGAGTACACTTTTGTCACTGGTAGAGGAGAAGATGGGTCATGAGTGGTGGATTTAGTAGGTGTAGGAATGGGATGGTCTGGTGGTGTATTTGATTGAGGTTCAGGTGATGTTGAAGACTGTTGGGAAGTAGGTGAGGTTGCTGACACATCTAAGGAAGGTGATGGATGATCATGTGGTGGTGGTGGTGATGGGATGTCTGGTGATAAAGGCTTAGGAGGGTAGGAGATTGTATGTGGTGGAGAAGATGTAATAGTATAGGTGGGCAGAGGTGAAGGATGTGGAGTATCTTGGGATACAGGGAGAGAAGTAGGAGTGTAAAAAGGTGTGTCTTCGTGAAAGGTCACATCTGCACTGGTGTATGTCTTTCTGGTTGTAGGATTATAGCACTTATATCCTTTCTGAGTTGGAGAATAACCAAGAAAGATACACTTAATAGATCGTGGGTCCAATTTTCCCCTATGAGGTGGAGGAATATGAACAAATGCAGTACACCCAAACACCCTTAGATCAAGATCAGAAGAAATTCTGGTTTGAGGAAAGAAATGACAGAGAGATTCAAGGGGTGACTTATTTTGGAGTACCCGACTGGGAATTTTATTGATGAGATGACATGCTGTGAGTGTGGCTTCCCCCCAATAGTGTTTAGGCATATTTGATTGAAACAATAAAGCCCGACTGACGTCTAGGAGATGGCGATTTTTTCTTTCTGCTGTGCCATTCTGTTGTGGTGTGTACGGACAAGAGGACTCATGAACAATGCCTTTTGAGAGGAAATAAGAGGAAACGGTTTGATTGAAGTATTCAAGAGCATTATCAGTGCGGAAGCGTTTTATTGTGGCGGAGAACTGATTATGAATCATATTGCAAAAGATAGGAATGATGGAACTCACCTCACTCTTGTTTTTTAGCAGAAAAACCCACATAAAACGTGTACAATCATCAATAAATGTAACATACCACCGGGCACCAGATATATTAGCAATTGGAGCAGGACCCCAGACATCACTATGTATAATATCAAAAGGAAAACAACTGATTGTATTACTTCTAGAAAAAGATACACGAGACTGTTTAGCAAGTTCACAGACATCACATTGAAATGTAGAAACATCAATACTACTAAAAAGACTGGGAAACATGGTTTTTAGGACATGAAAAGAGGGATGACCAAGACGCTTGTGGTGAAGCCAAATAGTGTTAGTATTGGCTGTGATTGTGGTAAGAGCTTTTTGTGGAGGTTTGGAGACAAACAGTGCATCAAGGTAGTACACCGTGTGTAGATCCTGTAATAAACAGTGGGAAGGGAAAAAAATGGCAGCACAATTAAGATCAACTGTGAGTTTGTAAATAGAAGCAAGGTTCATAGCCAGGTTTGGGACATGTAGGGTGTTTTTCAGATTTAATTTTTCAGAAAAAACAACCGTACCAAGTCCCGCAACCTTTGTAGGTGTCCCATCAGCAGTAGTAATGTGCGTGGATGTAAAACATGGATGATAATTAGAGAGTAAAGAGGGTATGGCAGTCATATGAGATGTGGCACCTGAGTCTAATATCCATTGGGATTGTGAACTCTGTTCCGAAGCATTAAGACAAAAAATAGTAGAGGTTTTACCTTGCAGGGCCAAAGAGCTATAACCAGAACCATTTGAGTTATTAAGAGACTGTAACATCATACAAATTTGCTTTAATTCCTCTTGGGAAATGGGCCAAAGATTAGTAGAGCTCTCAACAATAGTGGGAGTGACTGAGTTGGCACGTCAAGCACTCATTCCACGTCTGTCTTGGCTTTTTCTTTCTTTCTGTAGATGAGGATAAAGTTTCTAGCATGTATCCACATTATGGTTGGACCGCTTGCAATGATCACACCATCTTCCTCCCTTACTACCCTTAGTTTCCTTAACATCTGAAGGAGTAGATTTGGCAGCAAGAGCTGTACTGTCAATCAGATTTGTATTCATCATTATATTGCGTCTGCTCTCTTCATGTTTGATAGTGGCAATGGCAGAAGATATGGAAGGCAGAGGAGTAATGCCAAGAATTTGACCCCGAGTCTGATCATATTCGGGATTTAAACCAGACAAGAAGCAATATAGACGTTGCTGATTTATATAGTTCTTGTGAAGAGCTGCATCTGCAGCATTCGACCACTTCATCGTTTGATACTGGTCAAGTTCAGACCATCGTCGTTGGAGGTCAGTTGCATAATCTGTGACAGATTGTGAATCTTGCTTAAGATTCGTTGTTTTGAGCCATAAGTCATAGACAAAAGCGCCATCTTTAGCAACAGAGTAGGACTGTTGTATGAAATCCCAGATTTCTTTAGCCGAGTCCATGTATAAACATGTACCGCTAATGTTGGGATCCATAGAGTCCCATAACCAGACCCGTACGTTGGCATTAGTTTTCTCCCAAATAGCAGCATCAATCTCTCCTTCTTCTGGGGTAGAGACAATGAGATAATCTTCAAGATCTTTGCCACGTAGAAGAGTGTAAACCAGCTTTGACCACCCAAGATAGTTCCTGCCATTGAGACGGTAAGATGGCGGGATAGAAGGGAGATCAAATTTCTGGTTTCGAAGAGCAAACGCGGCTGCAGTAGCAGCTGAAACAATGGTTGAGTGATCAAGGTTACTTGAGGCTGATTCGGCTTCTTTAGACATGATAAAACCCTTGATGAAGAGACTCCACCGGGAGTTAAAGAGAGAGAAGGGTAGAGACACCCAAAAAATGACCGTTGGAGAGGTGATAGACTGACTCAAAAAAAGCTTAGACGAAACCAAGCTCTGATACCATGAAGTTTTCTGAATATTATTTCCTTGAAATCATTTACAAGAAGTACATAAGCTATTTATACAGATAGGAATCCTGAGAGAGTCTATTCAGCACCCTAGGTGACTGTCTAAATACTAAACATAAATGATTGAGAACTGAAAAGACAGCAGCTATTAAATACAACCTGAAGCACTAAAGATACATAATTACAGTAATAATAAGGAAAATAAATCCTAGATTAATGATGTCACTAGGCGTGTTCCCAAAGATAGCCAAGGGACACGTCATTTTTGTATTAGCTCTTCGCTAGATTAGCCATCAAGTTACTTATACGTACTACTAAGAGAATATTACCCGAAATAGGACTAAAACGGTTTGAAAATTCCAAAATAGGACTACCATGTTTTTATTCCCGAAATACGACTAAAATAGTTTGAAAATTCCAAAAAAAGACTACGATGTTTCTATTCCCAGAATAGGACTAATTACTGTCATGTTTTGGCAGTACCAGACTTCAAACATGACAGTATTTTCTAAAACAGTAATTAGTCCTATTTTGGGAATAAAAAACATGAGTCCTGTTTTGGAATTTTCAAACTGTTTTCGTCCTATTTCGGGAACTTTCCCTACTACTAATACTCCACCCAATTATTTAGAAGTTTTCTCTAAAGTATTACCGAAATAAATTTATGGATAAAAGTGTGATTAAAGTCACTACATACAAAATGTCACAATTTGTCTGCTATCTTAACTATAGTCATATATTAGTCATTCCAACAAATGCCACCCACAAAGCTATTTACTCTAATTATTTACCTTTTTTAATTTTTTTTCTCTTCCCTATGTTTTGTGCTCAATCTAATTTGTTTAGCTGTTTGCCTAAAGGAAGGGAAGGTATACCTGTCACGGCCTCTGTATCAGCAGCAGTCCCTGCTCCACAACAATAAATGTTAGGAGCCATGTAGTGAATTTTCTCACAGTTCTTATCAGCTACTATGGGTCCTTCAGTGGCTCGCGTGTCTGCTCCAAGAATGACACCATCCTGAGGACATAATCACCACCACAATAGTTGTTAAATAATCATATTTTGTTTCAGCATGCAAAATTAATGAGCATCGACCACAAGGGGTAATGAAAACACTAATATTACTTCTATTTTGTTGCTGATTGTTGGGCGAACTAAACTTGGAAAAGAAAGTCTATAATTACTTCTATTTTTTCGTACAAGATTGGCACCCTACTGTGCAAGATGAATACGAAAACATCATATTTATCAGCATAACACATATAAACATAACTTACGAGATCAAATATATAGCAGAGCATAAAAATGAAACAGGTAATTGTAACTCAAGAACTATCACATTAACGATCCATGCAAAAACTATGAAACCTCGAAACGAACGCACACACTCATTCCACAAAATAGAAACAAAATCATATACCACTACTTCAAAATAGACAAACGACGGAGAATGTGAAGTATTTTGAAGAAAGGGATAGTGATGACCTGGAAAACCAATCCCACTATAGTGGTCCCTGTCTTTAGAAAAGACGGGGGGTGAGCCCCTCTCTTCGCCAGCATCTCATTCCTTCTGCACAAATCGAAGCTAAAACCACCTTTTGGGGGGACATCAATTGTATCCTTGGTCATTGTAATTCCTATTCAACGAAGCCCCAATGTATGGATCGATCAAAAAGGGAGATCTTCTATCAAAAAATTATCGCTGAAACATAAATGCAAAGCGGAGCGGAGTTCCTTTGCGTGAAATAGGACTGACTACTGATCTGAGATGAGCACAAACAGATATCTTGTGGGACGTTTTCAGCCTTATCTCGTGGGACGGGAACTTGAGGAAGAAGAAAAGCCTTCTTAGAAACCGTTCTCTCTAGTTTGAATGTTTCTGAATTTTTTAAGATCCGATCTCATGTGGATTTTTTCGATTTGATCTGATCTGATCAGAATCTTACAGATATGATCTGGTTTGATCTGAATCTTTCTGATCTGATCAGATCTGATCTGAATCTTTATGATCTGATCTGAATTTTTCTAATCTGATCTGAATGCTTCTGATCTGATTTGAATCCTTCTGATATGATCTTAACATTCTAAACCGGTATATAATAATATTAATACTGATGATAATATTTCTAATAATAATATCAATAATAATAATAAATAACAATAATATCCATAATAATTATAATAAATTAATAATAATAATAATAAAATAATAAAACAATAATAATAATAATAATAATTGTAATAATAATAGTAGTACTAATAATAATAATAATAATAATAATAATATAATCAATAATAATAGAATGTTTCCAATTTGCTATGAATGTTTCTGATCTGATCCGAATGATTTTGATCTGATCTGAATGATGGATAGTCTACCCGGGGGGTAACTTATCCGAGGGGTTATTACTGAGAATAACTTAGAGAGAAGTCAGAGCACAAATAAATAAGAGAGAGAGTGTATTCAGTATGAATGTCGTGGTTACAAATGGGGAAATGGGTGCTATTTATATTAGCAATAAATGCCGGACAGGGACACGTGTCAAGCGCCCATTGGACGAGAGGTCACCTCAACTGGTTGGCATTGGCAGCCGCATGTGGCCGCATTTAATGCGGCTGTTGGATGGGACGTCTGTACAGGGTACGGTGATCTGTACGCATGTGAGGCGGATATCATGTCGGGAGAGGTGCCCTCGGCTGCAGAGGACTAGCCGAGGGCGCTTAGTGCCGAGGACCCCTGAGTGCCGAGGGCTCCAGGTGCCGAGGGCTACTGTTGTCTGCCGTTTTTCTCCCAGTTCCTCTGTTTGTTCGAAATATCCACGCTGTGATAGTTTGGAGCCTTCGGCCAGGGGGCCGAAGGCACCCCTGGTGCGTATTGCGGGCTGTTTGGTACTCTGGGCCTCGTGATTTGGGCCTGCTTGAGCTTCCTGGGCCGGTTGGGCCTTCGTTGGTGTAGTAGGAGTCTGTGGGCCGGGTGTTCCCGGGCCATATACTCCATCAGGAGTCCCTCACTCCTTTTGCCGAAAGGTATTTGAGGGAAAAGGAGTAATTTGTGCTTGCCCTTTGATGTTGTCCTGTCGTGATCTCTGAAGTTGGTGAGGAGTTGTTGCTTTTATGTCCCTGCCGAAGGCAGTCCCTCAGTTACCCACATGTCGGGACTTGAGGGCTTGCTTTGTCGTTTGTTGGAATTTCACTAATTTTGTAATTTAATGATTTTCCCGAGGGGGTCCTCCAGTCCCCCACTCCTTGAGGCACTTGTAAAGTGGTGAAAAGGAGTAGAGTAGTTGCGTTGCTGTTGTGGGCCGAAGGCTGACGCTTTTCGTTTCATTTTGGGGGGATGCCTCGTTAAAAACCTCATTAGGAAAAACCCTGTGGGAAAAAATCCTAATGAGGGAAAAAGAGTGCACCGAATTCCCCCAACGATGAATCGAAAATGTGAAACCTTGGTCAAAAATGGAGAATAACGGTAACGCCGAAGGCTCTCCTTTTTCTGAGGGCTCATGTGCTGATTAGCCGAAGGCTCTCCTTTTCCTGAGGGCTCATTTGTTGATTAGCCGAAGGGGAGCCCCTCAACCTGGAGATCGAGGGCGCGATGGATGAGGGCAGTAGTTGAATTGTCACCGGGGGGTCCCCTGATCGTTGATTAGTTGGTGATGGGGATATCCGGGGGCTCCCATTACCTGCATGATGTATGTTGTCCGTCAATGAGGCATACTTCCCGGGGGCGATTCGGTCCTTACAGTGCTGAGGGGGAATCCCCGAGGGGTGCCCTGATATGAAGCCTTGGGGTTTCTGAAGGAGTGATCCCGAAGGCGTCTGTTATGTGCTGTGTGGGGCACAACCCGGGGGCGTCTCTGGGTAAGTGTACTCGGAGGCTCTCCTTGATGAAGTGGAGTGAAGTAGAAAACCCGAGGGCTTCTAGTATATAGTCGTTGGAAATATAGCCGTTGGAATATGTAACGTCAGGTTTATAGCCGTTGGGGGGGGTACACGTGGAGTGTAGTCGTTGGCTGCTCGTGGGCGGGCGTCACCGGTTGGGTGAAACGACGGTGTGTAATGATGCCGGAGGCCCAGTTTTTGGGCCCAAGCCCGGATTCTGGAGTCTATAAATACCCCAAGGCCAGAGCCATTCCCCGCTGTGCGAACTCAGTGTAGCGAAGCTCTGGCAAAAATTTTCTAGAGAGAGAAACTTGCCCTCGGTTGAATCCTCTGTTCTCAAGGCCAGTTCCCCCCTGCCCTTCTCCTTTTAGTTTAGCTGTGCCTTGTGCCCTTAGGTTAGGAGATAGAATTCTCTAGAAAATCTTAGTTCCCCCGAGCCCTCGAGCTAGAGTTAGAATGTCGTCCCAGAGTGATTCCCAAGACATCTCGGGGGCGCCCTCGATGGAGGATGAAAGCATCTCCGACGTGGAGTCCAGTAGCAGTCAGCCCTCGGATGGTGGTGATGCAGCTCTCGCCACCGAGGTGCAGAAGGATCTGGTGGCCGAGGCCGAGGCGGAGGAGTTCGAGCGAACCGCCGAAGATGAGGAGTTGGCCCTCGCCGTCCAAGTTGCTGAAGAGGAAGAGGAAAAGGAGAGGGCGAAGGTTACTGTGGCCGTCCTTCCCCCTCGGGGTGCTGGTGAGGCCAGTACCTCTCAGCCGCTGAATGCAGTTCCCATCCGGGTGGCCCCCGGGAAGAACAAGGCCAAGGTAACTGCCCCCAAGAAGAAGATCGTTGCCGCCGATCAGGGGAAACCCATAGATATGCCGGAGGGGTATTCCTGGCTCAATACTGCTGCCTTGGAGATAAAATCGAAGGCGGACAGGGCTGATTTGTACGTCACGCAGCTGCATGTTGGGCCCTCGGCCGAAGTGGTGGAGCCAGGCGTCGATGATCTGCTGTCCCGGCCACCCGAGGGATGTATTGTCGTCCACATCCTGTCGGTGTCAATGGGCCTCCGGTTCCCCCTGCACCCATTTCTCCGGGAGTACCTCAGGTTCGTTGGACTTATCCCTTGCCAACTCACCCCCAACAGCCACTCATATATTGCTGGCTTCCTGCACCTGTGCCGGACGAGGGATGTTACCCCAAGCTTGGACCTCTTCTTCCAAAGCTTCAACTTGTGCCGAGGGGGGCACGCGAATGCCGAGGGCTTCGCCAATTTGCAGCAGGTAGCGAAGTTCAAGTTGTTCACCGAGGCACCCTCGTCCAACAAGGGCTGGAAAGACAGATGGTGCTATGTCCGGTTGGCCGAGAACCCCTTCCCGAGGGAGCTAAGGGACTGCTTTCGGTGCCATGAGAAGGTGGGGAGTTTCGCCTTAGAGAAGGATGGCCTGAAACTCGCCAAGATCCCGGAGGGTCGGAAAAAGAACATACCCATCAATGAGTGCACCCTAGAGGAAGACATATACGCCCTCGGGTTCCTGAGGTATCGGTTCATTGGGGAGACCGATGAGAAGTATCCCCATTATGATAAAGCCTTCGTGGGAGCGGGAGGTAGTGGCCGAGGGCTTTAGATTTTTGTACTTAGAATTTTTTTTTCATGTTTGTCGTTGTGTCTCTGACCCCTCGGTTCTAACCTTTTAACTTGTTGTTGTCGTTCTTTGCAGGTAGCAGGATGAATGCCAATGCTCTGTTTGCAAAGAGGAAAGGCAAAACCCAGGCAAAGGAGAAGGGGCCCTCGGGCCAGAAGCCAGCCGATGCGTTTTTCCCGAAGGTCGTAGAGCCTTCTGCTGAGGATGTCAATGCTGCTGAGGGGACCGGGGGGTCGAAGGCCGAGGCGGCCGTGAAGAAGAAGAGGAGTGGTAAGGGGGTGGAGCCCCCTACCAAGAAGCAGAAAGCCGCCGGGGGCGCCGTTGAGGGGGCGGCCCCCCTCATAATTGTTGATGACATGCCCTCCACTATGGGCCTCTGGCCTCGATCACCCCGAAGGCTCCGATGAATCTCCCCCCAGAGGAATTACCCCGGGAGATCCGTCAACTCTCCTTTGCCCCCGGTGCTTCACTTATGCACGGTACTGCCGAGCCGAGGGCCTTCCTGCGGGCATCACCTCGAAGATGGATAGAGAAGTCTTCGAGACATACGACGATGATGCCCTCGAGAACAGGATCCTCCGGTCCTCTCTCACTGTAAGTATCTGCTTCCTGTTTCCTTCTCTTATCAATTTAGTATTTTCTTTCTGGGGAATAATCTAACTCCTTTGATCATTGTTTGCAGGCCTGCATAGCCCTCGGGGAACAGGCCCGGAGGCGTGAGGAAAGGCGCCTTCACGAGGCCGAGCAAGATAAGAAGATGGAGGGGCTGATTCGCAAGAACTCTGAAGCGATGAAGCATGCTGCGCAGCTGGAGGAGGCCCTCCGGGAGGCGAAGGCGGCGGCGGAGAAGGCCAAGGCCGATGGCATAGCCGAGGGCAAGGCAGAGGCCGAGAGGGTTGCTGCTGAGGCGGCGAAGAAAGCTGTCGATGAGGCCAGAACCGCCAAGGAGGGAGCTGTGGCCAAGGCCCGAGGGGAGGCAGTTGCTGAGTTCCTTGCCGAGGGCTGGAGGACCGAGGGCCATAAGGAGTGGGTGGCCTCCGTGGTGGCAGCCTCAGTGGATGCTTGGGTAGAAGGCCCCGGAGTTGACTGGCTGACAGATAGGGGCGACGCCTACTACCAGGGTGTGAATTCTTTACCCAGCATCTGATTTACCGGAGGCTCGCCAGGCACTTTGGCGTATCCCTCGACCAATTTGACCCCTCAGCATACGGCCTCCCTCCATTGCAACCAGATGTGAGAGTTCCCCTCCCCCCGGGCGAAGAGCGGCCGACGATATATGACTCTGTGATGATGGGGGGTGATGGGGGCGGAGCCGTCGGAGGTGATGCTGCTGGGGAAGAAGTCTCCTCCAAAGCCGTCGTGGAAGATGCCCCCGGAGACAACGATGCTGAAGTTGCAGAGAAGATTTGTACTTAGTAAATATTTGAAACTTCTGTTGTAATGAACACCATTGATCCTTCGGCTTCGGCCTGTTTGTAACAATTACCTTTACTCCTTTTTGCGGTGATTGATGGATGAGTGTTGGCCTTCGGGCATTGTATATATATATGACTTGTTTGATTTAATTCATTCCTTTTCGAATGTATGCCGTCGTTTTTTTTCTTGAGTGTATGCCTTCGCCCTTTGAATGTATGTTTTAGGACTTAGAATATTTTCTGACTGTAGCTTGCCCTTGGAAGCCTTCGGTAGTTGGGCTCCCTCTGCTGGATATACAACCGAGGGTTCAGCAATAATTAGGACTTAGAAAATTTTTCTAAGTGTAGCACACCATAGGGCCTTCGGGTGTTTGTAGTTCAATTGCTGTGTGGCGATTAGGTTGAGAACCCAATTCCTAGGACTTAGAAAAATTTCTAGGTGTAGTTTTGCCCTCGGATGCCCTCGGCTGGTAGCCTCCTTCCTGATGTGTGAATATTGGACCGAGGGCCCAATGTACAGGACTTAGAAAATTTTTGCAAGTGTAGCATGTCATGTAGCCTTCGGCTACTGTGGAGCCCCAACTGAAATGTTGATTAGGCCGGGGGCCAATTCTTTAGGACTTAGAAAATTTTCCTCAGTGTTGATTCCTTGTGTACTGTAGCCTTTGCTTGATAGGTAGCCTTCGGCTATTGGGTCCCTTTATAAGTTGAGGGTGAAATATGTAGGGCTCAGAAAGATTTCCAAGTGTACCTTTTCCCTTGGGAGCCTTCGGGCGATGGCATCCCTTCTTGATGTATGAGTAGCTGACCGAGGGAAAAACATGTAGGACTTAGAAAATCTTCTAAGTGCTGTTGTATCGCATAGCCTTCGGCTATCATATTCCCTTAGCTGTAATATTGATTGGGTCGGGGTCCAATCTTTAGGACTTAGAATTTTTTCCAAGTGCTGCTTCCTTGTGTCGCCTTCGGGTGATAGGTGCCCTCTGACTCTGCATCACTTTGCGAGATGCCCGGGGGCTACTCATTTAGGACTTAGAATATTTTCCAAGCGTAAATTGATGTTGAGCTTCCGGATGTAGATCCCTCCGGATATATGAATAGGACCCTTCGGGTGATCGTGAGGCCCTTGTGTTGTATGAGTATTTGACCGAGGGCCGAATACGTGGGACTTAGAAAAATCTCAAACTGTGCTGTAGATGTTGGACCTTCGGTCAGTGAGGAGTCTGTCCGAGGGGCAGATATTTTGAAATAAGCCCCCTTGGTTGGCCTTTCATGATTTGTAATAGATTCCTTCGGGTGTCGGATGATATATTAGCCCCCGGTTGTTGTCATTTTCCAAAAGTGTGGACTTAGGAAAAGTGTGGACTCCTGTTGTTGTAAAGGAAACCGATGAGGAGTATGTGCCCTCGGCAATTACTTGGAAAGTTGTAGAGTTTGACTTAGCCAGTCCTTGTCATGGGGTAAGGGCCCTCGGTATTAGTGCGTAACAGATGCCCTCGGTATTTGTTTGAATTACCGTTTAGTAGACTTTGGATAGTCCAGTCCCTTCGTATTGTTGAAGCCTTCGGTGTTTGTGTGACCGGAGGTGACCAAGCAGTGGACTTAGCCGTTTCTTGATGATATTTGTTTGAGTAGTATCCTTCGGGAAATAGGAGCCTTCAACTACCGGAGGTGTTCTCGTGGGAAGCCCTCGGCATGTTGTGATCTGTTGGAGTGTACTCTTTGATTTCTCGCTGAGTCTACTCCCCTTCACCCCCTCTTTTTTTTTTGGTCGGTGATGAAGGGAAGGCATCAAGAAACTTGGTTTCTTGGTAAGGCTGGGCCTATCAGGAGACCATCAGAATACACCAATGGCTCTCCTCCCTCGGGTTAACCTTCCGAGTTCCGAGGGGATCGAGGGTCGTTTCCTGGGCACAAGATATGGTGGTCTGTAACCTGCCTCCCTTTGGGGGATGGCGCGGAAAGCGCCTCATTTTTGAAAGTCGTCCCCTCGGCGCTAGACATAGTCCGTGGCCTGCCACACCCTTGGGGTGGTGGCGCGGGAAGCGTTTCGGTTTGGAAGTCGAATCCTGGGCATTTCTCGTGCCTGTCATACCCTTGGGGTGATGACGCGGATAGCGTTCCGTTTTTGAAAGTCGAATCCTGGGCATTTCTCATGCCTGTCATACCCTGGGGGTAATGACGCGGAAAGCGTTTCAAGGAAGGGTGTTCATTTGCACACTAGTTGCAAATGGCCGGGGGCACTACGTGCCACCGGCACCGATGGTGGCGCCTTCGGTATATGCGTCCTCGTGGGGTACGGCTTTTAGAAACAACACTTGGTGTTAGTTTCAAAATGTAGCCCCCGGTACTTGGTACCGAGGGGTCTTCTGTAGGAACACTTGGTGTTCTCTTGTCGTAGTTGATGGAGGTGTCTACCCTCGGTACTTGGTACCGAAGGATCTTCATATGAAACACCTGGTGTTTTGATTGGAGTGTTCTCTCTCGGCGTTTGGTGCCGGAGGGCCCTCGGAGGAAACACTTGGTGTTTCCCAACAGATGTTTGGAAGTTGATAGGAGAGCATATCCCTGGCCCTGGGTGCCGAGGGGTCTTCTTTGAAACATTTGGTGTTTTTCTTCGTTCTGATGTTGATGATGGAGGTGTACCCTCGGCACTGGGTGCCGAAGGGAAATGAAACATTTGGTGTTTCTTGTCGTCGGTGATGGGAGTTCCCACCCTTGGTACTTGGTACCGAGGGGTCTTGTTGGAAAACACATGGTGTTTTCCTGTTGTTGTAGGTGTTGATGGTGTTTTCCTGTTGTTGTAGGTGTTGATGGTGTCCTAAGTGTTGTTAGCCCTTTGGAGATAGGGGGGTAAGATTTTGTTTCTGGGTGAGATGACTTGTAACATTCAAGACATGTAACTAGCTTTTGGAGTGAGTCATAGTTTGAGTAGACCGGGTAGAGGAAATAGTGTTTACTATATCCATAGTCTTTACTATGTGAACCATCCCACTTCTACTTAATGTTTGAGCTAACGGGGTGCACACATTAATGATTTTAAAAATGGGATGCAAAGTCAAATATCAACCAAAATATGATAAAATAAATAAAAAAAACTCTATACTTTGCATATGTGTGATATCCCTACCCCAAACTTGTCAACCTTGTATAAATATATCTCCTACTTTGTAAAATTGAGATATTTATGTGTTATGTCCTACCAAACCATCTAAGAATGCACACATTTTTTGGGAATCACACATCTTTTTTTGCCAACTAAATCTAATTAACATATTTTAATTATTTGAGAAATATTATGTGTTAATTAAAATATGGTACACAAAATTTAAATAAATAAAGTTGGGGGTATTTTTTAAACTAGGACAAGTTCGGGGTGGGGAGCTCACCCCAAGGCAAAGTTCGGAGTATATTATTCCTCCCAAAATATGGGGTGCAAAGTCAAATTCTTCCAATTTTAATTCTCCATGTGTATGAACAAATACATACATATGTTATCATACCAATTGTTCCTGACTCAAAATTATAAACAAAACTGTAATCTTTAGCTTGAAACCATGTTTATTAAATGTCATCCTTGCACTCGAATACTCTAAAACTAGTACACATTAATAAGTACCAAGTATAATAATCCGTGGTAATAAATAATTAAACTGCTAGAGTGGTAGGCTCACAGGCATCATGTACACAGGCCAATACGTCCCTATAGTCCCTTGAGATAGTGAAAGAATCATACACCTTCCCATCCCTGCTCTTCTTGTATTCAAATGCAAGTGATGAGTGATTGAATGCAGTGAGTTTTACGAATCCCCAATCGTAATCCTTGAAAAGACTCCAACTTGTGTTCAGCGTCGTAAACTCAGAAAGGTGTGACCCTGCCCCTCCAGCAACGACATGTATCGTTCCATTCACCACACCTGAATAGTGTGACCTTTCCGAGTTCACACACTTGTTCTGCCCCACCATGCAAAATTAAATGATGAGACATTGAAATTTGTTGGCTACATGAAATCTCAATATGAAGCCTTAGATTGCTATCCTAATTCCTAAAGATGAGCGAGTAGTCCAATGTGTTACTACTCCATCCCTATCTAATGATTTAGTTCATTTTTATGCAACCAATCTAACTTTCTTTGACTATTTGATTTCATGTATCATTTTCTTAATCATATTTCAAAATTCGTTTTGAGTTTGGGCTGTTGAATGTAAATTCAAATATGTTTTACTTTTAACTATAATTATTAATGCTAGTTAAGATAATGTCATGAAGGCATAACACCATAAACCAAAACTCCAACAGCAAACAAGGATGGAGATTGGAAAGTATATTGTAGTTTGTGTTTTGTATGTACTTGGCTGATGTAGGAGTAGGATAACTACACATGTACCCACAAAAATGGCAAAATGGTGTCTTGTTGAAACAAACCAATCTTGAAATGTGTGCTCTTTTATTGAATTGGATCAATTGCTCAGTTGAACTTCATTTGTTGTGATATCATATCAAGTCTTAATGTGAAGATTAGGGTCAATGAAACGTTTGAGCAGCCGAATGTATTCTAGTGTACTTTGTGCTTTGTGTACTTGGCCGATGTGGGAAGGTTCAACAACATGCAATACTATGATAGTATGATGTGCCATAGTAGTGCATCACATGCTATTATAAACTTGAAGCCAGGCTGACCGGAATACCTGGTAAATTGGGCAAGACCTTTCGTAGTTGTGCACGTGACCATAGAATGCAATATCTACTTTGTACCTTTGCCACAGCTTCTCCAAGCTTTCCCTGCCCATTGGCTCATCGAAGGAGCCTTCTAAGGCATAATACTTGTCCGAAGAATAGCCGAGGACCCTGTGTGCAGCAAAAATCAGCCATGGCTGCTTCCTCCTATCTGCTGATGCAAGGCATTTCTCTATGAACTTGTATTGCTCGGATCCCTCCCGCCAATCATGCTCACTGTCTGCTATGCAGAAGTGGAACATGCCATAGTCGGCCGCATACCTGTAGTAAAAAACAAATAAGCTCAGAAAACATGCTCATAAGATCACGGCTAAAAATAACTGAATGAGTGGTCAGGTTGAATAAATTTATGTAAAATGTTCTTTATATTTTTAATAAACTAATCTAAATATTATTTATTTCTCATTGTTCGTCAGTTGCTAACATATTTTTCATCAAATAAACAGGAATTATATCAGAATCGCACATTGAAAAAATTTAAAGAAACAATAATGGACTGATAAGATCTTGGTTGAACTAGCATTTAAAAGATTCGATTTATTCTTTTAGCATGTTTTTACCTAAATCCTTTATTGTCCAGTTAAGCCCCTATCCAAACCTGAATTCTATGAAATTAAAGTTGTGAGAAGATGATATACCAGCTAATGTCTACTTTAACTCATGAATCAAGGACATGTGTTAATATTACCAAAACTTAGCCCTATTCTCAGCGGGGACATAAAACATGGTTTCGGCAAGCACCCCACACTCTCCCCCAGAATCCGTTCCGCTGTAGAAGGATCCTGAACCAGGCCAATCACGTTCATGGTTTCCACTGCAGGAAGAAAAAGCTTGACGTGATATTGTTAAAGTAACTGGAGTGAAGCATAATGGATTCTCCGATGTTAACACAGATGGATTGCACAAAGTCACAAACCTTGCAGTCATATAAGGAACTGTTGACGCAATGGGTTCAACTTGTGCAGTGAACTGGTCCCACTGTGATATGTAACCATTTGCATATGCGCTATCTCCTATGTGAAATACAATGTCTATGTTTCTGAGGTCCTCAATGAGCCTATCCGTTGTATTAAGTGCGCCTGGTTGGTAATTACTGTATTCATTTGAACCATCACGCTCTGCCTGAAATGAGTGTGTATTTAAACCAATAGGCATGCATGATACATGCTTATGCCTAATCTAACAGTCAATTAATGAAAAAAAAAGTACTACATATGTGCGAATGTTGCTGAATTTGTCTCATATCAGCTAAGTATAAAATTACAAAAAAAAAACACTGCCATACTTTGACAAGTTTGACCGGCATGTGAAATAAGAAAGTAAAACCGGTGTGATTGAATATTGTGTAGAAGATAGAGAAGTAATAAGAACCACACATTAGTTACTTTAAAGTGAAAGTACAGAAGTTTTTGGGTCAACCAAAAAAAGAAAAGTTGCCAAAGTCTAGTTGATATGGGGAATATAAGCTTTGGACTATTTCTGCTATAATTTGATCAATGAGTCAGAAAAACTAAGAATTGCATTGCACAGACGAAATGAGGTTTGTCATCGGGAAGGGATGTTGACGAGCTTGAGGCTAAATATGAAATAACAAGTTAATAAGTTCTTAGAATACTTCCATCCTATTCGGTTGACTTTTTAAAATGAAATGTCAAATTTTAATAGAATAATAAAATACTTCCCTCCGTCCCTTAAAACTTTTACAACTTTCCTTTTTTGATTGTTGCACTAACTTTGCCACTTTCCTTTTCAAGTAAAGAATTTGTGGTTCCTATTAATTCTCTCTCCTCTACACAAACCTCAAACACACAGTTTTTACTTTATTAATCGTCATGCCAGTCAAACTTGGCAAAGTTTCAAGGGACGGAGGGAGTACAATCGATCACCATGAGAAAAATACACATGTTAAATTGGTTAAAAGTAAAAATTACCTTTCCCATGTCTCCGAATATTATTATCTTCTGTAAAGAGTCTTGTCCTGGAAATGGGGATGATCTAAATGCAAATGTCTTCTTACTCCATACATAGGAACCATTGTTTAACAAATGTCCAACTCTGTAGGTGTACCTGAAAAAGAGCAAAATTTGTAACCACATAGCAGATAAGTCGATAATTGATGCCTATAACATTAAAAAGCAGAGGTCAAATCGTCTTCAGGAAAAACATACATCATGTTTGGCCACAGATCCTTCAAGAAACTCGTGTGTATGAAACCTGGATCACGCCAACCAACTGTTCTTGCTGGTGAACCTGCAGGGAAGTTAGTAGAACCTTTTTTTAAACAGGTCCTGTCTAAATAGCAAACTAACATTTTTTAAAGGGCGAAGAGCAGGGAGAGACCATTTAGACTGTACATATCTTACCCTATTTCAAATATAATATAACCATCATTGTTTTCTTTCCTAATAATAAGATTATTTACTCTTAAAAGACGAAATTTTACTACTTGTATCCCCTTCTTAGGACTAATAAGTACTCCTGTTCTATTTTTAGCACAAAATTAGAATATTTTTATCTGTGCACATGACATATCTTTTACTCCCCATTTACAGTAACTTACTAAAATAGAAGTAAAACAACCCTGAATATTTTCTAGTCTTACCAAATTTCTAAGATACAAAAGCCGTAACTATACGGTTTTATCTACACAGGAAAACACTTAAACGAGGATGTGATCATTACAAATGACATACCACACAAACTGTTTCGATCAAACGTCAAGGTTCCTGCGGGTGATTGTCTCCTCAATCGCTGACTCTTCAAACCCCACTCTACAAGAGCGACAGCTTCATCTACATTATATCCACTTGTCCAGGTAACAGTCATCTACGGAAAAAATACATATTTGTAATCCTAGAATTATTAGAGTACTACTTTTTGGGGAAAAGCATTGCATTAGAGTAATAGTTATATGCATATAAAATATGGACTTAAGCTGAGAAATAGATACTGTTACTAATAGGAAGGCTGATGCCCGTTCATTTGAGCAAAAGAGTTCAAAAAGAAGATACAATATTATTTCTGAAAATAATATTCCATATGAATTAATTGTAGTGTTTTCACTATTATTTTAACTGATAATTTAACTATTGTTTTCACCACTACTGTTGTGGCTAGTGTGTATATTACTGTTGTACTAAACACTAACTATATACTACGTAGTACTAAAAGTAAGTCATTGCCCAAATTCTGATATATAAATTATCTATTCATAGAAACTTACTTCATTCCATGTTTTCCCTAGAGCAAGCCGTGGATATAGTGGTGCTTTAGGATTGGCAAAAGATATACTGTTTGAGATTGCTATCAATTTTGGCTGCAATAAAAAATGCGCACACGTTTAGATAAATGGAATAAAGATGCACTTGAGCAGATGAGCTCACAAGTTTTATAAAGATTCAAACAAAGCGTGGATGAAGGAGTTATTTGCAGACATTTGACAATCCCCCTGTAAACAATGTGAAGGAGAAATCTGCTCGCTGATTGATTAGCTGAAGCTTCAAAGAAGCCTTCCCTGTCTTTGTATAAGCTGAATCAGAGTTTGCATATGTGTACTGCAAGAACAACAAGGCATTCAGTGTTAGAACAATTCAAAAACTTTCCATCACTAATTATGATATACACCAACCTTTATTGGGGCCGTGCATGTATATGGAGACTGCTGTTTAGCACCATTCTCTGGAAAACATGTCGATTCACTGAAAAATAAGACCGTATTTGGTTTGTTAATTGGTAAAGCATCCAAAGCTTCTTGCATTATGTGCTAGACTAGTTGTATGCCTTCTTTATCTCATTGGTAGAACAACCAAAGCTTTTTGAATAAATCTATTGCACTTGACCATCTCTATATTTCCAAGTAACATGAAAAATCCACATGGCTAAGGGTGGTGTGGTTGGTTCAGGGATTCAGAAGGAAAGGAAGCAGAGAGTTGTACCATTGATTTCAATTTCACTAGTTTATAGACTACAAAACACAAATAAATATATTTTTAGTTAGACCGTTTAATTCTATAAATTTTTATCTCCATTTTAAGCTCCAACCACATAAACGGCAAAAAGTAGATATTATTTGAAAAATAAAAATCAACTCTCCCCTCTTGAACCAAACAAGCCTGAGGCTTCAAGTAAAGTGCAATTTAAATATGAATGGAAGTTACTTGAATTTTGCAGGAGAAAAAACTCCAATCCAGTCATCCTGAGATGGCTCTAGATGTTCAAGATCCACAGTAACCCATTCTGTGTCTTCACCCTATAATACATATCATAGAAATAACAATACTGATTACGTTTCATACTTTCATCCCAAAAAAAAACATTATTCATTAATCATTACGCTGCAATGAAATCCTCCCTCAATGAGTCAAGTAACAAACATGTGTTCTCTTCTCCAGATCATCTTTAATGCAGTCATTTAAAAATACATAACTGAATAAATTAATAAATAAATTAATAAAAAATAATATTTGTCCTTAGAAGTATACTTGACTCAATTAATATTCTTACATAGTCAAATTACCACGTGCGGGACCCATACATAATATTAATCCATACATAGCGCAAAATAGAACTGAATAAATCAATGAAATCCTCCCTCAATGAGTCAAGGCAAGTAACAAACACCTGCTCTCTTCTCCATATTTTTTATTGGCAACATATTCCTTTTGGTGAAATATTCTTCACTTTGCAACATTTCCATTTTTGATAAATTTTAACTAACTTCTTCATCTTCTCTTACATACGGAGTACTTTATTTACTATTTCATCTCTTTCATACTTTTTCATATATTCTCTTGCTTTTTACGGAGTACATTTTACCACACTATTTATTACACATCTCAAAAAACTGTAGTTGCAAATAAAGAAATACTGAGGGAGTAAATAAATAAATAAATAAAATAGGGTAGGCAACAAAGTGCCTCAAATATCCCTAAAAACTGTTAGAAAAGGGACAAAAAAGCTACTTGCAAATTATCGAGCTTTCATAAAGTTCATAAGTTTTTAAATGGTATCAACAGACAAGAGCAACCCACCACTAGAAAAGTCAAAAATAGTGAAACAGAACCTACATTAGAATTTTCACTAAACTAAAAGAGGTGAAAATATTTAGCTTGAACTAAGGGGACAGGGGAAGCATGGAAGTATATACCAAGTATAATCCATGAAAGAACTCAGAAGTTTACTTCTGTACCTATCAAAAATAAAATAAAATAAAAGTAAAAACTACCTCAAGACCAAGCAGATAAGGAGAGGCTTTAATGGAGGAAGAATCGCTGAGAGCAAGGGAGATCCGGTGGACTGCTATTTTCGAGAAAGGGTGCTCTCCGCCGTGAGCGGAAGAGAAATCGAGAGCAGCCACAAACAATAATGCCGCCGCAATCGCACTGAAGAAAACACTACTTAAGCTACCACACCTAACCATCTCTCTAATGCTTTTCCGACTCAAACTACCACAAGCTCTGCTTCTATTTATTTGTATCGAACTTGGAACCAACCCTGAATTCAAAATCTGCTTTCGATTTCTACAAAACTTACTGCTCGATCGTGGATTTATAAGAGTCTCTTATAAAAATCTGTGTGTTGGTCTCGGAAGATATCCAACAACAACACATATCTCCGGCTCCAAGAACTTTGATAAGACTGGACTTTAATACTGGGAGTCTGGGAGTAAGAGTCCCGCTTGACGTTGACTTTGTATGGGTCCCACTACCAAACCTTTAGAACTTGTCGCAAAAACGTATACTCCCTACATGTTTTCAATTACGGAGTATTTTTGTAAGTTATTAGGTGTTCTATTCGTTAAATAATACTCCTTCGCATACTCATTATTCATGTAGTCAAATTGATGACTAGTAATTCCTAAAAAAATAGTCAACTTTAAAACTTTGACTAACTTTATATTTTTATTAAAAATTGTTTATAATACTTCATATAAAAGTGATATGAAAATGTTCTTTTGTTAAAAGTACTTTCATAAAAGTATAAAATTTATGACTTCCCTAGAATTATACGACAGTACATTTTTACTAATCAAAATCATGTCCAAAATTGAAGAGATGACTAAGTATTTTGGGAATTTGGATGGAGGTATCATATTCTTGTAGATAGTTCAAACAAAAAATAAGATATACGGAGTATATGACTAAAATAAAAAAGATTAGAAAATGTGACTTCTTGTATAGCATGACTAAGATAGTAACTTTCAATGATTATGTTTATGTTCAATTTTACATTTTATTGGTCATGAAGTGATGCACATAGTAATTACTTTAATTACTTTTTTGTTCATCAATTATATTTGAGTAATATTTTATGAAAAAGTATCTCAAATAATACTTAATGATTCTCTTCCAAAAAATCAAAATTGTGATGTGTTTTTTTAAAAAAAAATTGTTATTCGTATAATATCGTGTACCATAGTACTTTACTAACTTTTATTCTCCATAAATGTTTTTACTTACTTCATTTGCCCCCAATAAACTTTTTTCCTGGATCCGCCACTGTTTGCAGCCATTTCAGCCATTGCAGCTGTTACCAAACAGACCCTTGAGAGGTCACATTTTCATAAACAATCTTCATTTTAGTCACAATTATATAATTATTTCAACAACAAAAAATTATATGCATAAATACCTAAATTTTCCCTCTACAATGGTAGATGATATATTTGAACATTTTCGCTTAAATTTGTATTTAAGCACGATTTAAGACAGACATAGCATATCTTCACATATTTCTCACCCCCTGATTTGCATGTTTACATAAGCAATTCATATAGATGTAAAGTCACCCTATTACTTAATCATTATGAATAATTTACCGTCAATGTAACTAAAGTATATAAACCTTTGAATATGGAAAAATTCTTTGCTAAAACTTTACAGAAAGACACGATTTTAACAGGGGTCAATGCAAGACAAAATGTGTTAATTTTTAGGCATTTCTTAACACCTTCAGATATTCGCTTGCTACTCCAATGTATCCTGGATGTGATGATACCCAAGCATGACTTATTATGTGGTGACTATAAATAAAAGACAAAAATAGTCTTATCGTGTGCTGGTTTATTGTGGAGAATTACTGTCTTTTGTCATGGTCAGCTTTATGTGGTTATCAATTTTACGTGATTGTGTGAAGAGTGAAGAGTAATCATTAGTAAATCATAACGTGTATGTCTCATTTCACGTCAAATTTTATTATTGTACGAAGTAAACTCGTAATGATTTAATTAAAATTGCAAGTTTTTTTTCTTTCAAATTTAACTAAAATTAATTACAAGGGCCAAATTTCACCTAGGGATGGACCGGGCACGGTCGGGCTTTTGTTTGGGTTGTTGAGGCCCGGAACCGGCCCAGGTAGCTACAAAGTCCGGGTCGGGCTGGTCCACCTGGCCGGGTACCGGGTTGGGCGGTCCACCCAGCCAGGTCCCGGGTCGGGTCCGGGCAAAAAAATATTTTTTTGTCTTCTTTACAAATTAATTCTGGAATTGTTAGATATAAAAAAGTTAAAGTATATTTATTTGAAATATGTAGTACAATTGAGAATTGAGAAAATTTTAAAACATGAAATTCATCTTTTACTAGTAATAAATAATAATCAATCGGAATCTCTGCCATCTTCGGTTGTTTCCTCCATAAAGTGGCGGCTGGAGGCGATGCTCACTTTTTGAGTTCTACGTTGGGCCTTCAACCAATCGTGGAAGCAAATAAGCGTCTCGAGAGAGTTTACGCTCAATCTCGTTCTATAATCCGTTAGCACGTTGCCGGCCGCACTAAATTCTTGTTCCACCGCAACTGTTGATACCGGCATTGCTAGCACTTGCTTAGCCATCTTTGATAAAACTGGGCACGTGCTTTCCTTTTCCTTCCACCACTGCAGAACGTCAAAGTCATCACCTTCTTCATACTCAACAGGAAATGTTAGATACATAGAAAGCTCGTTAATCGAGCTTTGTTCAGTAACGGGATTTGATTTACTTTTTTTCATAAGATTGCCAATGTAGATTTAAAAAATGATTTTCCTTTAGATGAAGATGTTAGTGTCGGGGGAGGGGGTGTGTTACCATATTGTGCATGAAACTCATTAAATAATTGATAAAATAAATTATTAAGCTCGTTGAATTCTTGTTTAGGGTCTATGGGCTTATCGTTCTACATAGAAAATGGACCAAAAAAAAGATTCATAATAGTAATCTAAACACTTTCCCGAAGCATCAACTCTAAAATGAGGATCAAGAAAAAATGCAATACCATAATTATGTACAGATTGTGTATGATTGCATGTGTTGTTGCAAAGCAGGTGCCAACTTTTTATAGGATGATTTGTTGTGTGTTAATGTGAGAGTTAAAGGACCTGAACATTGAACATCAATGATCAGTCCGTTGGGCATTGAATCGTCCATGAACTGTCCATTTAATGCTGCATTAAAGATAAGAACGTTGGGCATTAACTTTCGTAACGGCTGAGAATTGCGCGACCAGAACACCCCCAGGTCTTCTGGTGTAACGTGCACGATCAAAACACCACCCCAGGTCTTATGGTCTACGTGTTCTGAAGCCATTGTGTCATATCTTTGAATGATAGATTGTTGGACGATATTCGTGTCCGCATGTCGCCCGCGCACGCAAGTCGCTGTTTTCCTTCTTCGTTTTCGGGATTTGATAGTGTCGATGTCAGTCGGGTTTATAATATAGTTAGCATATTCTTTTTAAAAAGTAGGAAAATGGTCTTTAAATCTAGTAAGTACATCAATTAAGTTATAAGTACTATTCCAATGAATAGACAAATCTTTAGGAAAAGCAAAATATTTGACACGTCTTTCCCTCAAATATTTACGTCATTGCTCCTTAAATTGACCACTAGCCCAAATAAGTCTAATCCTCCCCTTCACTATCTCCATAGCATCTCCCAACGCGGCTAGCCCACCTTTTACACATAAATTTAGAATATGGCATGCACTACGCTGATGAAAAAACCTACCACCCCCACCACCCCCACCCTCCAAAGCCCCAAGACCCCCTCTATAGCGTCCAACGGCTATATAGCCGTTTGGGACTTTTCCCAACGGCTAGGAGTATAATTTAATTGATTTTTTTTTAAATGTAGCCGATGCGGCCCGGACCGGGCCCTGACCCGAATACCGGGCCGGCCCGATTCCGGGCAGGTTGACCCGGCCCGATTCCGGGCAGGTTGACCCGGCCCGAGTCCATCCCTAATTTCACCAACCGTGCATCGAGCGTCAAAATTATAAGCTTTTTTATTTCAAATTTAACTAAACTTTATTTCAAGGGTCAAATTTCACCAACGCATCGCACATCCGCACGAGTGTTCTACTAGTTTTTCTATTAAAAATCTCCATTAAAAATCACACATTTTCTACCCATCCTCACGTCTAGGGATGGACTCAGGCCGGGTCAACCGGCCTGGCCCAGTACTGTTTCGGCCCGGTTTGGGCCACCCGGCCCGGTACTGTTTCGGGGCGGACTCCGGGTCTAAAAAACATTAACCGGCCGGATCAGGCCCAGTTCGGGCCAAATTTATTTAATTATTTTTCAAATTCTTTAAAAGGTAAATGAGTTGGGCCATGTGTTTTGAAGGGTGTGGGGGTAGGAAGTAATTAGAAAAATGTGTACCCAACCCGAGGCTCGGCCTGAACCGGCCCTACCCGGTAGTTACCCGGTCCGGTTCCGGGCCTCAAGAAACAAAAAAAAAACGGACAGGCCCGGCCCGAGTCCATGCCTACTCACGTCCAACTATTTTTTTAAAAAATCTTGAAAAACCTACAAGGACGTATCAATAATGAAAAGCTATGAAAACAGCACAACATCACAAACATCAACGATTTCAGTTTTGTGAATTTAATTGCTTAATGTGGTGTTGGTTGTTAGAAATAGATTATTTTAATAATTAAAAATTTCATTACACCAAGCCAAAAAACGGGGTACTGTTTTGGTTGAGAAAGAATGAGCAGTTTTAGTTTTTTCTTTCAAGGTTAAAATTTATACAAAACATTAACAACAGATTGCACAAATACATTCAATAACAAAGCCTTGCAAACAAAAACGGCTACTTGTGATTGTTTTGCAACAACGATACAGTTACTATTGGCTGATGATACTGCTAACTGCAGCTTCTGAGGTCGTGATGATAGCATAGTTATCAGGAATCAATATTAAATACAAAACTGGACTTGATCATTATCACATACCCTTCCCTTTGGAACTAAGAAGACTGCAAACGCTGCAATACGCATCACTTTCATTCAAACGCAACAGCTGATATGGCAAATTTGAGAGCCGGTAGCCCAGAACCCTAAACAACAGAAAATTTTCACTGAGATATAAATTGACCATTCTTTGTGAAGTTTCAACTTTCTAATGCTTGCAACTTCTTTGCATCGCACAATCTCATTCACGGTAGTTTTCGACTCCCATTGATAATGCACCAATTTCAAGTGGAACTTTCAGTCTGCCATTACTGCATCACAAGTTGCACTTTCATCACCAATACTAGCTGATGAGCTGATAGATGCAAAAATATGCTCAATCTGTAGAGGAGAATGTCGAACCGCATACTGGAATAGGACCTAGCAGAATTTTAAAAAGAAAGAAATGAATTTTCATGCATAGACAGAGAGGATACTGTCTC